GGGTGGAGAAGCAGAGGATGATGATGGGCTCCTCACCAGGACATTGGGATGGGGTGGAGAAGCAGAGGATGATGATGGGCTCCTCACTGGGACATTGGGATGGGGTGGAGAAGCAGAGGATGATGATGGGCTCCTCATTGGGACTTTGGGATTGGGTGGAGAAGCAGAGGGTGATGATGGGCTCTTGGCCGGGACATTGGGATTGGGTGGAGAAGCAGAGGATGACGATGGCCTCCTCGCCGGGATGCGAAGATGGGGTGTGCAGGACCATCCCATCCCTCCCATTTGCCCGTTCCCAGTTTTCTTTGCCGGCACTGCCAAGTTTTTGGGTTTTCCTGGGATGTTCTCTCCATGGGATGTCTCTGGGGCTGGGCATTCCCGGAGCTGGGAACCCGAAGGAGGTTGGGATGAAGATGGGTTGGGGAGCGACATCCTCCACCACGTGTATCCCACAAGCCCCGTTGATCCGATACCTCCAAGGACGCATTTCCCAACCATTCCCATTCTCCAAGCTTGAGCTAAAGGATTCCCACCACCTTCATCTCCATTGCTCTGCCCAAAACCTTCTGCATGGACATCCACCATTCCCCTGCTTGGACAACCCATCCCACCAACCTCTGCATTTCCGTTTCTGGTGCTTTTCCGTATTTATTCCTCATTCCCTCGTCCTTCCTCGCCCACCATCATCTCAACAACCTCCGTGCAGCAGGGCCTTAAATTTGGAAGACTCGACCTACCTCATCGGCTGCTCCTTGGAATTCCTGGGACTTTATTGGAATGCCTGGGCACTTGAAAGTGCTTTTTTCCCACTTTTTTAGCCCATATTGTCCTGTATTCCTCCTTGCGTGCGTATTCCCATATCCTGCTCCATCACCCCAGGGATTAGAGAGGACACCTTGGGAAAGGGCGTTGCAAAATGGGATAAATCCAGAGGGTTTCCCATATCCCAAAATCCCTTGTATGGATCATTCTACCTCTATTAGGGAAAAAATTCCCGGGAATGAGGAGCTCTCATGGTACCACGGTTGATCTTGGAGCTGTGACTCTGGGATTTGCATCTCCAAGCTGCCCATTCCGGGCGGGATTCCGGCTAATTTTTGCTTGATGAAAAAATGCAAAGCGAGCAGGAAAAAAAAAAAAAGAGAAATTTGGAAAATAAAAATGGGAAAATAAGGAAAATGAAATTTGTGTTAAACCCCCCTTGGACCAGGAAGGAGGATGGCAGCAAATCCAACGTCTGGAGAACCCCATGGCAGATCCCAATCCTGGGGGAATGTTGTATTTCCCAGCTTGTAGAAGGTCCTTTTTTTCCTTCGGCTCTGGAGAAGGAACCTTGGGATTGTGGACGGGACGGGAAGAGGGAGTCACCCGTTTTGGCCGCCGTGGGGCTGGGGACGGGGACATCACATAGGGTTGGAGCAGGGAGATGGGGGACCAGGTCCAGCAATGCAAATATGGGGGTGTTGGTGGCCTTCACCCCAGGAGAAGACCAGGCCGACTGAAGCCGGACGCCTGGGCCCATTGTGGGGCACCCTTGGGGCTGGTTCTGGTCCATCTCGATGGAGTTGGTGCCATGGGGGCTCCTCTGGATGGATGGGCAAGGTGAAACCCGACCACGTGCATGGAAGGGATGAGGACTTGGATTAGGCTCCCAAAAAAGGGGACACCAAGGATGGATCCTGAACTCACCAGCTCCTCCAAGGCTACCTCCACCTTCACGTCTCCACCAAGTCCCTCTATGTGTTAGCACCAGGTCCAGTAGCCACCTCTCCTCGTTGCCTCCTCCACAATCCGGGTCAAGAAGTTGTCACCAAGGATCTCCAGGACTGGTTGGGCCTAGTTGGGTTGTTTCTCCAGCCGATATCAGGGTGGTTGGAGTCTTCCCATGAGAACCAGGGCCTGTGAACATGAGGCTGCTTCCAAGTGTCTGTAGAAGCCTCATGGACCTCCTCATCCTCATCCGGTGGCCTGTAGTGTCCCCCATCCTCACCCACATGCCAGTCTGTTGGCAAAGCCACGCGTGTCCCTCTTGCTGAGGAGGCTCTCATCATTCCCCACCCCTTGGTGGCCTTCAAACCGAGCCCCATGGTCATGGAGACCAAAACCCTGTTGCCAAGACCGGTTGTTAACCGGTAATATCCGTCTTCTCGGATCCATTCCCGTTGTTGGCAGGATGGAGGAGAACACAACCGGGCACCCAGACCTTTCAGTGCCATCCCCAGGGCTCTGATATCTCATTGGACGTCGCTCGGTTGCCCCATGGTGTCATCAGCGCCTACATGAAACACTAACGGGGGGTAATAGACACCTGGATGAGTCTTGGTGACACCCCTTGACTTGACTGCCTGGCCCTGGACAACCCCTAGATGGGCCTTGGTCTCGTTGGTCCGGTCCTCAAATTCCAGGGCCTCGTTCCTGTCAAACGTGGTCACTTGTGGGGACAAGGTGGGGACCCGTCCAAGAGGGACCCGTTTCCATTCTTGTTCATCCCTTAATACTGTTAATTCTGTCCCGTCCACTCTATGACAAGAGGCTCCTCAGGGCCTACGTTGCCCGGGCCTTGCTGGGAGCCATGGGGGGTGGCCGCGGTGACGCCCTGCGTGACCTCAGCGCGTGTCACAACAGGGACCATGGGGACGCCCGGGGGTGCCCCAGGGAACCCCGGTGCTTCCTGGAGCTCCCCGGTGACACCAGAGGCCTCTTCGTCCTCATAGGCCCCACTTGCTGGTGGACCTGCAAGGACCTTTCCTTCCTCCTCCTGCTTCCATCCGCATGGATCCGAACCCTCTAGACACCGCGGTTGACCCCAGGGAAGCCCCAAATCGCCCCAAAAAGCCCCAATAACCAGCAGATCCAGCTCAAGGCCTCCATAGAGGCTCAGGGCCTACCAGAAGCCCCAATCCGCCTCCAAAGGGCCACAGGGAGCCTCAAATTCCCCAGGGACCTCCCAAAAGCGGGAAGGGACCAAAATCGCACGCGGGATCTCGGCGTCCAAACGGGCCAGGTAGGTGCTGAGGCGCCCAACAGGGCTAAATCCAACCGGGAAACCCAAGGAGCGGACGGTGACGATGAGGGACCTCCACGGAGGCCCAGCGGACGTCAGCAACCCCTCAAAACCCACCAGAAATACTCTCCGACCTCCCTATGGGAACCCCCAGGAATATCCTTATTAATTAATTAATTAATTAATTAATTTGGCATTTCTATCCTCCTTTTTTCCCACTGGTTTCTTCTCCTGAACATCCCTCTCTTGTCCTCCCTTTCCCTTGCATTTCTGCCTGTACTTCTTCTCCTTCTCCTTCTCCTTCTCCTTCTCCTTCTCCTTCTCCTTCTCCTTCTCCTTCTCCTTCTCCTTTCCCTTTCCCTTTCCCTTTTCCAAGTTCTTCTGGTCCAAGGGAAAAGACCTTTTTTCCCCCCATTTTCCCCCATTTTTTCCCATTCCCCCCAGCCATGGGGGAGCGGAAGACCAAGGGTGAGAAGAACATGGACGTGGCCCTTGGCATGGCCAACAATTTCCCGTACGTGACCATCCGCAGCCTTTTGATGGAGGGTAAGGCCTGGTGGCTCCATAACCTCCCTGGGCAACCTCTTCCAAACGCTTCCCAAAATTTACCCTGAACCTCCCCTGGGTGGGGATGGCTGGAGAACCTCCATGGCCTCTCCTGGAGGCCCAAGGAGCCACCTAAAGGGTCTCCTGATGGATGTGGAGGTTTTCTTGGTGTTGGATGGGACGGTGGATCCCCTGTTTCCCATAACTTCATTGGGAAGGACGGGCTGGAGCTCCGGGAGCTCCGGATGTGGAACACGGCGCTTCCTTCCCTTCCAGACATCATGCAGATCTGGAACGCGGCTCTGGTCCATGTCCGGCAGCAGCTGGAGCTCGGCAAGGTGGGCTTGCTCCAACGGGCTTCCCTGCGCATCCTGGAGAGCCCCTCCTCATCCCAGGGATTGTCCTGGATCTAGGGATGCTCCAAGCTCCAAATCGATCTGCTCTTCCATCACCCCATCCTTTGGGAAGGGTAGAAAGGATGGAGAGGAACGGGAATGCCAGGACTTCCCTGGCACTTTCCCATGTGCCCAGATGCCCTTGGGAACATTGGGAGTGGAGAAGGCACCTTCTCCGTGCGCTCATTGGGCGTAGAACCATGGGATCATTTTAGTTGGGAAAGACCCTGAGATCATGGAGTACAACCGTAAACTCGTCCCCACCATTCCTGTTAGATCATGTCCCCACCGTTGTGCTTCTAGATGTCCTCTCACCCACCTCATCCACTAGGAACGCTCCCATTGGCCACGCTGCTCTTCCAGGCGGTCACCATCACCGGCCTGGGGACCTTCTGCTTGGTGGAACAACACCTCGACGTCGGGAACGGCGACCTGCGCCCCGTGCAGAAGCCGGTGTTCCAACTGTCAGAGATGGTGACGCGCATCAGCAACCTCCAATACCCTCCGGTTGTTCTTCCCGGTAAGAGGATGGAGAACCATGGAATGTCTTGGGCATCGGCCCCGTTTGCTCTTTGGAAGACACTCATTGAGGAGGCTCCTTGGTGGCTTTCCAGAGGACACCCCCGTGGTGCCACTGGACTACGTCCACCTGTCCTGGGAGACCATCCGCACGCCGGGCACGCTGAGGACGTGCATCACGGAGACGCTGCTCTTCTTCTACTGCTTCGTGATGACGCAGCAGGACATCGACTTCGTCTTCAAGAACATCGGCATGCTCTCCGTGCGCAACAACGTGGCCACCATGCGCTTCTACGCCGACTTCCTGGAGAGCTTTGACCGCACGGGGACCGTCACCAATGCTCTCGTCAGTGTAAGCGTGTCCAGGACCCCATTCTGCTCCTTGGGTGCCTGTCACCTCACTCATTTCGGTGGCTTTTGCAGGACCCCAAGACCAAGGAGCTGGTCATCTTTGGCCGGGAGAAGGACGTGTCCCACAACAGCTTTGGTGGGGTCATCGTGCTCCCAATGTGAGTGTCCTTGTGTCCACAGCCCTTGGACCTTCCCAAGAATCTTCCCAAGATCCTTCCCAGGGATCTTCCCAAGAACCTTCCCAAGAACCTTCCTAGGAACCTTCTCAAGAACCTTCCTAGGAACCTTCTCAAGAACCTTCCCAAGATCCTTCCCAGGGATCTTCCCAAGAACCTTCCTAGGAACCTTCTCAAGAATCTTCCTAGGAACCTTCTCAAGAACTTCCCAAGATCCTTCCCAGGGATCTTCCCAAGAACCTTCTCAAAAACCTTCCCAAGATCCTTCCCAAGGATCTTCCCAAGAACCTTCTCAAGAACCTTCCTAGGAACCTTCTCAAGAACTTCCCTAGGAACCTTCTCAAGAACCTTCCTAGGAACCTTCTCAAGAACCTTCCCAGGGATTTTCCCAAGAACCTTCCCAAGAAATTCCCAAGATCCTTCCCAGGGACCCTCCCAGGAAGCTTCCGAAGATCCTTCCCAAGAACGTTCACACACAGGGAATGAGTCTCAGGCCCAAGATGCCCCTTCTCACCCTGCTGCCTCTGTCCAGGTTCGCTCTGGACCATCCCTTGCACCGAACGTCCGTGAAACCGGGTGGACGCGGAGTTCTGGCGCCCGAGCAAGAGGCCGACTGGGAATTCCGGTGCTACATGGAGGAGAAAGGTAACAGCAGCCATGGAACCAGCCCAACTCACCCCTTCTGTGGGTCCAACACGTTGCCCAAACGTGGTGGGATGCCACAAGAGCCACCCTATATGTCCAAAAATGGCACTGAGGTCCACAGATCTGTGTCTGTTGGGAAAAATGTCCCTCCAAGCAGCCCCCAATAGCTCCCAAAAAGCCCCACGTGTCCCAAGGTGGCCGGTTCTGCAGAGGTTCCTCTTCCAGCTGCTGCGCAGAAACGTCCGTCCAAGCGCTCCCGCTCCCGGGAGAGGCGTCACCGGCCCAAAATATCCCCGGATGCCACCAAGAAACCCACGGGGAGGAGAGTGCGGATCCAGACACCGCCAGCCCGGTGAGCGGGGGACACGGGGACGGTGTCACCAAGGCAGATGGTGTCACCAAGGAGAGGATGGAGCCCATTGAGGTTCTCCATTGCAACGGGAAGGTTGAGGGCAACCTGTGGCTTGTAGACACGGGGTGGAGAGCCAAGAGCTCCAGCCTTGGTGTTGGCCATGAGTCCCATCCGTAGACTCCATCTCCCACCCCTGGACACCCTGCCCTGGCTGCGGGACGCGGGCAAGAAGAAGTCCATGTCGGCAGAAGAAGTCCAGAGGCTGCTGAGGGGCTGCAAGGGCTGCCGCGAGACCGTGGCGGTAGGTGCTCCGGTGGGCGCCATTCCCACCGGTCCTTGGAGAAACACCCGGGCGCCCATCCGTGCCGTTGGGAAAACCCTCCGGCTAATCCGAGATGCCCTCCGAACCCTCCAGGAGATCCGTAAGCACCTGCGGAGATGGGACGTCGGCTACTTCTGGAACGACCTCTACTTGCGCGTGGTCTACGCCGACCAGACCACGTGGCAGGGCTGGAGGGACAAGGTGGGACAAGGTGTCCAGGGACACCTAATCGCGTGCGTCAACCTTGTGGGGTTCCTCCATGGGATCATTATGGTTGGAAAAGACCTTCAAGGTCATCGATTCCAACTGTAACCCCATCCATCACCATCTTCTGCTGTCCCCACAACTCCATGGGATCGTTTTGGTTGGAAAAGACCTTCAAGGTCATCGATTCCAACTGTAACTCCATCCATCACCATATTCTGCTGTCCCCACATCTCCATGGGATCGTTATGGTTGGAAAAGACCTTCAAGGTCATCAATTCCAACTGTAACCATGTCTGTCACCATCTTCTGCTGTCCCCACGTCTCCATGGGATCGTTATGGTTGGAAAACCCCTCCAAGGTCATCGATTCCAACTGTAACCCCATCCATCACCATCTTCTGCTGTCCCCACATCTCCATGGGATCGTTATGGTTGGAAAACCCCTCCAAGGTCATCGATTCCAACTGTAACCCCGTCCATCACCTGCTGTCCCCACACCTCTGTGTCCACTGTCTTGTCCCGCTGTCCAGTACCACCCCTGGCAAGGAGGGAGCACCCCGGAGGACGCGGCGCTGGCCGTGTGGGACGTCTTCCTGGAGGAGCGGGAGCAGCTGGAGAGCATCGAGGAGATCCGCAAGCGCTGCGTAAGGCTCGTCCTGGCCAAGGAGCTCCTGGAGCTTCTGCTCCATCCACCCATGGTGGCTGCTCCCCAAGAAGAGCATGGGATGGGTGATGTCCCATATGGAGGTTCTCCATCCAACCGTGAGATCTGTCCCCAAGAAGACCATGGGATGGGCGATGTCCCATATGGAGGTTCTCCATCCACCCATGGTGGCTGCTCCCCAAGAAGAGCACGGGATGGACGATGTCCCATATGGAGGTTCTCCATCCACCCATGGTGGCTGCTCCCCAAGAAGAGCACGGGATGGACGATGTCCCATATGGAGGTTCTCCATCCACCCATGGTGGCTGCTCCCCAAGAAGACCATGGGATGGGCAACACCCTGTAGACCTCTGCTCTGGCCCACACCTTCTCTGGTCAACGGGAGGCCTTGTGAGGACCTCCCATTTGGGAGGTCACCACCACGGCCACCTCACCATGGCCACCACCATGGCCACCTCTATGCGAGGCCACTTGGGAGAAGATTTTCTCCATTTCTACTCTTATTTTTGCTCCGTTTTTGGCAGGAATTGGGGCCACCGACACCCCGAACGTCCCGTCCTCCGGTGGCTGTTGGAGAGGACCCCATGGACCCCCAGCAGGACCCCAGGGCGCGCAGGGTGTCGGCGCTGCTGCTGCGACCGCTGTGAGTGGTCGTGACCGCGGGATGTCCCCGCGGTGCCACCGCCGCGTCCCTGGCATTGGGGACGCGGTGCTGGGTAGACCTTCTGTCTGGGGACGTTTCTATTGACGTAGGGTCAAGGCAGCCATGGGGGGACAAAAGGGTCCCCGAGTGACACTGGGGGACAGGAGTGGTGGCCTCAGGGATGTCCCTACGGTGCCACCACCGCGTCCCCAGCCTTGGGGACACGGGGCTGGGTAGACGTTCTGTCTGGGGACGTCTCTATTGCCCTAATGTCAAGGAGACCTCTGGGGACAACAGGGTGTCCCCGGTGGTGACAGGGTGTTGCAGGTGACAGGGATGTCCCCACAAGTGACAGGGACATCCCGGGGGTGACAGGGTGTCTGGGGGTGATGGTGTTCCCAGGATGTCACAGGGGTGACGTGGGGGTGTGACGGGGTGTCCCCGTGGTGTCCCCGATGGTGACGGGGTGTCCCCAGGGTGTCCCCAGGGGTGACACAGGGTGTCCCCGGTGCTGACGGGGTGTCCCCAGGGTGTCCCCAGGGGTGATGTGGGCCGTGACACGGTGTCCCCAGTGCTGTCGCGGGCTGTGACGGGGTGTCCCCGGGGTGTCCCCAGGGGTGACACAGGCTGTGATGGGGTGTCCCACGGTGTCCCCAGTGCTGAGGGGGTGTCCCCGCAGTGTCCCCAGGGGTGACGCGGGCTGTCACGGGGTGTCCCCGCGGTGTCCCCAGTGCTGACGCGGGCTGTGACGCGGTGTCCCCGGGGTGTCCCTGGTGCTGACGGGGTCCCCCCGGGGTGTCCCCAGCGTGTCCCCGTGGTGTCCCCGGGGCGTCCCCAGGGGGG